TGTTGTTTTTACTTATTGTGTTCTATTTTATTTGCTGTAATTTTTGTAAAAAAAATTTTTGAGTGCTCCTCACACTATTGTATTAATATATTTTGCTTTGGCTATATTGATACAATATCAGAAAGCACTTTTTTTGCGGATATATTCGTGTGGGCTGATGAAAAGATTATATCTTTTATTTTCCGGTTTTTTAAAAAATTTTAATCATTTTTTTATTTTATTTATTTTTTATTTATTAATCAGTTGTTTGTTATTTTTTTCATTATTATTTCCCACCCCCTTTTGCATATGTCAATTATTTTCCTTTGTTTTATCGTCATTTTGATATATATATATATATATATATATATATTCGAAAAAACTTATGAGGAAACTTAATGAGGAATGGGCAACATGGCAATTCGATGTTCGAAGTAAAATGAGGAGCGTAGATCTAGTGGGTATCAATTTTTTTTCACCTGCTTGTAGACAATCACGTATTTGTAGATTACTTTCATGATACTCTATATTCAAATACCGTTTATGTAGAGATGAAATTGTAGGGTCACAGTCCGATAATTAGTTAAAATATTCCAAAAGCCTTTTTTTTTTCATTCAATTTTTTTTTTCAAATACTTAATGCTTTTTTTTCCTTTAAGAACAACACATTGGTTAACTCTCGCATTTAAGAAAGTATGAAACTTCCAGAGTAAGTTTGAAAATGAAATTAAATGTAAATAAATATAAGAAAATATTAAAAATTCTTATTTTTTCAATGAGATAAACTATATCTAATCTGCTAGCAATTCTATTTAAAAAAAAAAAAGAAAACAAGTGAGAAGGAATATGCATGAACAATTTTAAACCAGTCTCTCGTTAAATTATGCTACTGATTTTAACTGCGAATTAAGTTTATTTTATTTTTAATTTGTTTGATAGCGACATGCCTAGAGGGCAAAATTCGAATGTCAAGCATAGACCCGATATGCATTAAAACTTAAACTTTGATACTCGATGTAATATTGAAAGTTACAAATACTTATAACTGTTAAACTATTTTGAATTTCGAGTTTAAAATTTCTAATGAATGAGCAATACGCTAATATTCTAAGACATTTTTGCAAATGAAATAAATTTAGCTTATATTAAATCAAAATGAGAAGCATAAATAGAAACAGGTTTAATAGGGAGAAATAAAATAAAATACAAATAAGACTATTGTTTCAACTTTTATTGTATTTATAAAGTGTGATTTTCAAATCTTTTTTCTAAGTGTATATTTGTCGGTTTATAAAATCAAATGTACCAAGAACAAATGCAATATTAATAAATGACAGGCATTATACTCATTTTTTCAAATCTAAATCTGTGTGTTTGTTTTGTATTCAAGTACTTTTTAATTCGTTAACAATCCTGTTTTAATAAATATGAATCAATTAACCAATGTGTGGTTCTTGAATAATTAAAAACATTCAATATTTTTTAATAAATATTAATTAATAATACGGGTTGAACTACATGAAATAAAACCTTCATAAACTGTTTGCGTGATGAAGTTCTAACTTCATTGTTTGCAGAAGGGCATGATGGGAGTTCGCAAGTTTGAAAGAACTGGCAGTTTCTGTGATGATAGTGTTGCCAATGTTAGTTGACAAAAAAGTTTGAAAACGTCTGAAAGCATTGAGAACACACGTGTCGTGACACACGTTATCAAGTTTTGTTGTTTTAATTTAAGTCAGTATACCATAGTAATATGCGAAATTCAAAAAAGCTTGTACTAATGCTAGTCTGGTACTAAATATAGATATTTTATCCCTATTTTAAGAACTAGGTGTATGATAAATTCGAATGCGAAAATTTGAATAACTAGGCGTATGATAATTTCGATTTGTAAGTTAAAATACATTTCAATTAGTTATTTTGCCATGATAAATGTATTTAATATGTAAAATGTATTTAATATGTAATGTAATAGTTACTTTGACCGATGAAAACTTCTAACGGTAATTCAATACTAAAATGATACTTAAAATGAAATTTCCGGTAAGATAAATTAAAATTAAAATTGTATTTCAACTAGCTTTGAGTATCCCGTAAAAAATTGAAGAAAAAAATTAATTATGCGTTTATAAAATATATTTCTTAATCTGATCCAAACATCACTAAATTAATTTGGTTTAAATTTACTTAATGCAACATAATCCTTTTGCTATAGAATTTCAACTCTTATAGGACTAAAAAAAATGTTTTCTAATTTCCATCTAATATTCTTTATACGTTAATTTATTGGTTAATTAGTTAAAACAGATTCCAACGAATACTTTTTTCATGTAAAAAAAAACAGTTGACAAAAAATGGCGAAATTTTAAATATATTATTATTAAAGTTCTATACTATGAATATTTAACAGAAAGGGCTTAATGATTAGCTGACTAAGTAAACTGAAGTTTATTTGTATGCTGTTCCTATTTCGAAGGACTAACATTTTTCAATTTGAAACTTTTATCTTCAGATGATATTGATAACAATCATGAATATGCAGAGCCTTACTGTACCGTACCAGCACCACGATGTTTGTTAGATGATTCTCCAATGTCTGCTGAACAAGTGATGGGAAGAGTAAGTAGCTTTGAGTTACAAACTGAATATTTGTTTCTGATCATTTGAGTAATGGTCTTCATAGCACACAAAGTTCTCGTTCTGATCCAGAGCTTTACGTGAACATTAATTCAAGTTATTATTCATCATTTACATTTATTCAAGTTATTCATCCTTTTTGTGGAAGAAAAATAACAGGGTAATAACATATTGGGGTTTAAAAGCACAAAGTAGCAATTATGCATGAAGAAAATTGTTTTTTTTTTTTTTTTTTTTTTTTTTTTTTTTTTTTTTTTTTTTTTTAGTTTTAATGGAAATATTCAGAAAAATATTTCAAATAGATATTGCATTGGGAGCACTTGAATTGCTTACTTCTAATGCTAACTGCTAATTTCTTTTTTTTCTGATACACTATTAGAGTTTTCGTTCTTAAATAGCAGGAAAATAGCCGGCAGCAATCTGACCCTACAATTAACAATGAAGCTTGCGGTGAAGCACATTTTTACCTTTAGGATTTTGAAGCCGTTTACAACTAGTATGGTTTAAAAAAGCCTAAATACAAAATTATTTGGCTTTTTTTACCATTTACGACTAGCATAGTTTTAATACCGTAAAATTAAATTTAATTGGACATTGTTTTATCAAATGAGCCTTATTCAGTTTATCTGGTGGAGCTCGATCGCGAGCAATGGGAAGTACTAGATTTTTTGTATTAAGCAGCTTTATAATGCTGCTATCTATGCGTGAATGTCAGTGTAGTATTCCAATAGGCCAGGGTCACAAAGCCACTAAAAACTCTTCAAGTGTTAAAGAGAATGGGGGAAATAGTATCGTGTCAGCGTTGGGTCTCGAATCCCCATTCTATCGGTCGTATTATCTTTCTCGGCTATAATATGTGTGAAAAGAACTGAGTAGCTTCATTAGGAGAACTTAGTTGATGTGATGAAATTATGGTTTTTATCCTTATAAGGTGAAAACAGTTAGTAATAGGTTTTTTCACAATTAAAAGTTTGAATAGCCACTCCTTTGTGGTTATTTGAATGTTTTGGTTCAATGGGGTAAAATAAAAATTAATTAAATTGTTATTTAGCCATTTTTTCGAGACAGTGCATTTCGGCATTGTAATAGTGCAGACTGATGGTTTGTTAAACATTTTAAAGCATTTTACTAATTTATCCTTAATTATTATTTATGAATTCATTATAAAAGCGTAAAAGGGTGCCATACCACAGGAAAAACTTTTCATCGAAAGTTCCCTTTCATCTCCGTTACTGATTTAAAATTTCAAAGAAAGAAAAAGCAGGTTCATATCCACGACACCAGATGTCATTGATCCAAATGCTATTCCACACAAAGCCCAATAATCTTTACATTATAAATTTACAAATTTTGAATAAGCACTAGTTTTATTCAATGAAATTGCCTGCTTCTTAAATTTTGGAACACACTGTATTGGAAATGACAATTCGACTATTCGTTAGGTAGTAATGTTCGAACTAAATGTGTATTTTATTAAAAAAATTTATTTGTTTTTATACTACTGAATGTTAGAATGTGAAGTTATTTATACTTAATAAAACTGCCTCCTGTTTGAAACGCAAATTTTGATAGCCAGTTGCAACATAAAACATAATTAAAGTTGTTCTAAAACTCTATAAAAGTCAAGCATTTTTCGACTAGAAAGTTCAGGCAAGCCTAGAGTAAGCCATGAAGATTCAATTGATGACAAAAATTAAAATATCAAAATTCAAACAAATTATTGGAAGGAAAATTCTACATTTCATAATACCAAGTCATCTTCTCATAATTTTTTTTTCATTTGAAAATTTTAAAAATTTTTCTTCAGTATTTAAAACTTTATGACTTACTTTAGGTTTATACGAAATCACTTTTTCTATATATTGAATTAGTTATAGAGGTGAAAGAGAAGTTATAACGAAAAGTTTCTCCCTTGGAATGGCGTAATCATAAGGAAATACGCATTTTTAATATATCTTACTTCACATTTGAATTAAATTTTAGAACCCTTACAATATGATTCAAAAGTCGAATCATCAGTTTTTCTTTTCTTTTTTTTTGTGTCAACACTATTTAATTAAGAGGACTATTTAAATTGGGTATCTTCAGTACTTAAAGAGATATGGGTTCAGTTCTGTACATCTACTTTGGGATTTTGTGTCATATTACTCAGTATTCTAACTAATCTTTCGTTTTTAGTTAGTATATAAATAGTTTTCATTGTTTTGCTTTTCTGTTTTAGACTGGAGTTGAAGATTCGTATTCAACAGTGAAACGTAGCCCATCAAGAACTAGTCATTTTATTGCTATTGGTCCAGGTAAGAATTTAAGATGCATAAGATAACATTCATATATCATGTGTTTGACTGAGCATCAAATTATAACTAACTATGTAGAATTAATTATATATTAATCATTAGAATGCAATTATATGATCTAAAATGAAACTGTAAATTAAAAAGAACTATGTTTTTAACTTGAATTACATAGGAGAAAATAATACAATTTTCGTCGCATCGAAATCTGAAACCTAAGGATGCATAAATTATTATAGATGTTGAGCCAATTTTTGGCTATGAAAGAAGATGACTAAGTGACTTTAATTTTTTAATTTTTGTTTTAGGTGTTTCAATTTCTTTTCTCTAATTTTGGTTCACTTGAGAAGCGTTTTTTTTTTTTAAGATTTTAATTGGTGAAAAACTTACTTGCAACATTTAGAAAGAAATTGTAACTTTCATTGTCATTAGGAATATAGCTCCGGTTTTAATATGAGTACTCCAACAAGTCGGAGAGAGACCGGAAATCAGATAAACTTTAATTTCTATTTGCTGAGAAAATTCTACTTGTTGAAAAAATTTCACTTGTTGTGGTCAAAAAACGCCTAAAAACTTCTCTACCTGTTCGAAAAAGTGGCGAAATTTTTATTGACGCTCTTCTGACCATAACATCCTAATGAATTCAGCTTGTAAGTTTCTGAAAAAGGAGTAAAACATGAATTGCCGTCAGGCACAGGCTCAGAGATCCAAAGGAAATTTGAGAGATACAGACAATTGGAAAGTAGTAACGTCTCAGCACAAAATAAATTAAATAAATACTATTAATTAAATTAAACATAGAACTAATTAATAGTTATATGTTTACACATTTTCGTTGTCTATAACACTCATGTGAGTAGCTTGCAAGAATTACATATAAAATCATATTTATTTTATTTTTATTTATTATTTTATTTATTTATTTATTCAAATTGTACTCTTATTTACTGATATGATTGCAGAATCTCTGTTATTTTATTTTATTTTTATTCATTAAGTCAATTTTTGAAATTTTTGAATTTTATGTATAAATAAGTAGCTTGAAAAGCTATAATTAAAAATGCATTCGTAAACTTAGGTAGAACCAATACTGAATTAGTTACTTCAACATTTACTATCACGTAACTGGATTGCTAATTTGAGACAAAGCAGTGTCTAGACGGTTTACATAGATAGTTAGACTAATTAAGGAAATTGGTTTTAAATTTTCCTATCTCAAATGAATATTACAGTATCGTAAAAAGAAGTTCGCAGAATATACTAAAATTATTAACGGAATAAACATTTTTCAAGAAAATTTAGATAAATACTCCAACACTTTATTTAATATTAATTTGAATATAATTATTAAATTACAGAGGATATCTAAAATTCTAACTAATGGAACATTTATAATGCGCAATTACTTAGAAGTATTTTATGACATAATTATATTTGAAAGCAATGAAGGTATTATATGCAATCACTAGTGGATGATCGAAAACTGTGCCCATAATTTCTAAACTAACTTGGAACAAGATAATGCATTTTCTTCATGTTTAGAATGAAAAAAAGTAATGGTAAGAACTGAAAGTTCTTTATTTATTCTGGGGTATTTTTATGGAGCATAAATATTTTCTCCTTGGAAAACAAAACAATGATGAATGAGAAAAAAAAAGTTGGAAAAAACAAACAAACAAAGGAAACGTGAGATAACTGAGATAAAGCTCCTAGGTTTATAAAATAAAGTTAATCAGCTATGGGTCACATTGAATAAAATTACATTGAATGCGTTGAAATGAAATTGCATTGAAACTTTAAGCACTTCCCAATACACTGAAAAAAATTTTATATTACTATCTGCATTATTTTTACAAATTATGAGCAAATTAACGCTAAAAGGCAGGAATTATTCCAACAATTATATGATCCTCATTTTTTCTGAATTTTCTTTGAGACATTGCTCATAGCTAACTATAAAATATATTCTAATTAGTATCTAAACAAATTAATGCACATATTTCTAAACTATTTCCTTCATTAGTTATCATTAAGCATAAAATAAATAAGTAAATAAATAAATAAAAATAGAAACGAAAAAGCCTTAGGGATTGAAAAATTAGGAATTCAAAGCAAAACTAGAAAAAATTACCAAATTTTAAAATTAACTTGTGAGTGTCAGTTCAGCGTTTAGTCAAACAAGAAAGAAAGTTTAGTTTACTTTTATTTAGAAACAAAAATTAATGACAACTGTGACTTCTTAGAACTCAAGAAAATATAGTTAAAGAAAATTATATATAGTTAAAGAAAATTAAAAATTAAGGAAATTCGAAAGAAATTTTGAAATAATGAAAAGAAAACTTGTAAATAATTTAAAATTTTATGCTTCAATATTTTTGCTAATCGTGCTAGGTGAAAAACTGAACAAAATCAATTTTGTGTTGTTTATTAAATGGTGGATAGTAATAGTTAAAATTTGAAAAACAAAATTTCCGATAAACCATTACCATATCAACGAAAAAATAAATAGTTTAAATACCGTGTATTTCGCTTTTATTAAACAAAATTACATATTTTAAAAAATAGAAAAGAAAAAAAAATATTTCTACCATATAGTTTTGTAATTTTACAAAAAATGTTTTCTCCGCGTACAAAAAATTAACTTAATAATGAATATGAATAATAATGAATAGAGAAAATGAACTTAATAATGAACCTACTTGATTATGAAAGAAAATAGAGAATATAACGATACGATTCTCTATTAGCTGTATAGAACGATAATAGAGAATATAACGATACGATTCTCTATTTGCTCTATAGAACGATAATAGAGAAATAGAGAATAGAGAAATAGAGAATAGAGAAATAGAGAATAGAGAAATGAGAAATAGAGAATAGAGAAATAGAGAATAGAGAATAGAGAAATAGAGAATAGAGAAATAGAGAATAGAGAAATAGAGAATAGAGAAATAGAGAAATAGAGAAATAGAGAATAGAGATATAGAGAAATAGAGAATAGAGAAATAGAGAATAGAGAAATAGAGAATAGAGAAATAGAGAAATAGAGAATAGAGAAATAGAGAATAGAGAATAGAGAAATAGAGAAATAGAGAAATAGAGAATAGAGAATAGAGAAATAGAGAATAGATAAATAGAGAATAGATAAATAGAGAATAGATAAATAGAGAATAGAGAATAGAGAATAGAGAAATAGAGAACAGAGAAATAGAGAAATAGAGTTGAAAGACGATCATGAAAAAAATTTTCTCGTTTCAACCTGAAATCATATAGGCTTTGGTTTTCTATTAAACTCTCCCCATTTAAAGGGATTTGTCAGTTCTAAATTTTGATTTTAATTTGGAAATTTAAATTTTGTCTCATGTGTATACTATATTTCGTCATAAGGAGCCTACAAATATACTTTAAGGGTGACATTTACACAACACCATGGATATCTTTAAATTTGTCTCTATATCTCCATGATATTTATTATCTAAATATCCTTACATAATGATATAAAAAATTATATCAAAGGAAAATCCAAATTTCAACATATTAAAAAATAAATACTTAAAAACGTGCATTTTTTCAAATATCAAAGATAGAAAGTTTTAGAAAAAAAGATTAGGCACGCACTGCTGCCAACTTAAAAGCAAAACTTTAATATCTATTATCATCTTAAAAGTGGCATGTTCTCTTTACACGATTAAGTCATCAAAGGTTTATGTATCTAGAAAATATTCTTCTTCGATTTTATTGAGCTTATGAAGATAAAAAGAAAGAAACCTGCACCTTAAGATAAAAAAAATGTTCTTATGATACTCTAAGGCTTAGAAACACGGTTTCCATTATTTAAGGTTGACATTATATTTTGGCTTCATCAGTTAATGGATCTTGATTAATATCAAGAAAAACATTTTTATTTATGATAGTTAGGAAGAAATAAAAGCAAGTCGGAATACAATCAATAATTTATGTTTACTTCTTAAACGTCATAGATAAGTTATTTACGATAAATTATGCTGACATTAACTGTCCACTCCAATCTTTATAAGACTATTAAAAATTGCCAATTATTTTTATATATTTGTGAATTAATTTGAGTACTTTGTGGTACACAAAAAACTTGGTCAATAGGCTCGATGATAAATTACCTATAACTCTTAAAAAGTACAAGTAAAAAATTCCCACATAGCCTGTCGTGGGCCAAGAAGGTCATAGAGCTTAAGGCTCTAAAATTTTATGACCAACGGCATGATTGTAGCAACGCGCATTTCACCTCTTATCCATAGATAAGATGGTACTCATCGATCTGCAGATGGGTGGGCAGGGTCAAACCAACACTGGGAATCAAACCTAAGTCTGCAATGACAGTTCAGCGTCTTAACCTTTGAGCCCTACTTTTGAAGAAAGTTTGGATCGTTCAAATTTGCTTTAACCTAAATATTTTGAAACATATTGTATATTTCTTATACTTTGGGAGATGATTCTATGGTTATTTTTGAATATAAACATAGTTCTTATTAACACCTGTTGAGGTTATAAGCAAATTTATCCTTTATTATGATTATAAGCACCAATATTATTCTTCAACGTTGAACCAATTTCTTTGATATGGTAATTATGACCACTTATACCATATTTAATTATTGTTATATACTTTTTTTAGTATTGTACTCATGACTGCTCAGATACAGACCACAGAACTTTCGATTCCTCATATTTTATGAGCAAGTATATCGGATTTACTTTCTGGTTTTAGCGGAGTTGAGGATTGTAATTCTGCCCCTCCGGACCGGAGACCGATTATCTAACCCATAGGCTACCATGTCTCAGAAGAAAATTTCGACATTATGATAATTTATGAAGACATATACTGTCCATCCCTATTTTTTCCATATTATTTCTTGATATTAAGGCACGGTGGCAGTACCGGACTATTTGTAATGTGTTTAGAGATAGTTAATTTTTAACTAGATATCAGCACTCAGCAAACAACCAAGGTAAAAACTTACGCAAAAATTAAAAAGAAATATTTATATATATTGTTCAAATACTTAGTCTTATATAATTTTCTTGAATAATAAATAATCACTTTAATGACCGTTTTCTTCAAAATAATGCAACCATGAAAAGTTTGAAGCCTGACTGAGTTGACAGCAAATTTGTCGCTTATTATAGTTAAAGGTACCGACATTGCTCTTCAACGTTTAGAAGATTTCTTTGCGATAGTTATTATGATCACTCCTGTGAGATTTAATTATTATAATATGTTTGTTACCCGTAATGAAACTTTTTTCTTACTTACTCCTTTAATTAGGCTCTTCACGCCATTTGGTGTATGCTTCCAGCTTACATGTCCATATCCCATCATCTTTATTTTGTGATCTGACTTCCTTTAATCTTTCACTTTTTGCTCTCGTGAAATCCGTGTAAATTTGTGTCTGGAAAGTCATTTTTGGACTTCCCTTTTTCTCCTGCTACCAATGTTGATATTTTCTATCTAAATACACGGGACGAAAAATAAATGTTTCCACTCGATATTTAAAATAATCTTATTAATTTGAAGAAAAATATTCAACTAGGACTCGTTATATTTAAATCGCCGAAACTATTAATCATATAAATCTTACGTTTGTTTTTCAAGTTTAAGTCACCAGTTGGGAAGCAAAAATCGTAAATTCAACCAATCAAGGAATTTTGATATTTTTCTTAACGAAACTAGTCCAAAAATCCAATGTTGGGGTATTATGAGATTAGCAGCAAAAAAATAATAATAAGGCATCAAACACGGATGAGAGTTGAAGTGAGAGTTGAAAGTTATTTGAAATAGAGTGCTACAATAAATAACAATAAGCAGCATTTCGAGAATCATTGAAGAATTCTTTGTTCGTGTTCATTTTCCGTTTTATTGATCAGAATTGCCAGCCAAATTGAAATTGAACGTCGCCAAACTTTTTTTTTAAAGTTAATCTTTTATGCTATCAAACACTCAACCAACTTCTTCTTGAAAGAAGATCAACTTGCATAATTCAGCAATATTTATACAAATGTTTGTTGAAAGTTTTGTCAAACGATATTGCATGTGCAATCATATCCACGACACTGGATGTCATTGACCCAAATGCTATTTCATACAAAGCCCAATACTCTTTACATTATAAATCGCAAATTTTGAATAAGCACTAGTTTTATTCAATGAAATTGCCTGCTTCTTAAATTTTGGAGCACACTGTATTGGAAATGACAATTCGTTAGGTTGTAATGTTTGAACTAAATGTGTATTTTATTAATTAAATTTATACGTTTTTATACTACTGAATGTTAGACAGTGAAGTTATTTATACTTAGTAAAACAGCTGCCTGTTTGAAAGGCAAATTTTGATGGTCAGTTGCAACATAAAACATAATTAAAGTTGTTCTAAAACTCTATAAAAGTCAAGCATTTTTCAACTGGAATCTCGAATAAATTAAAAATTAGTTAATCAAAAGTTAATCAATAATTTCTGACGTAAAATCTTTAGACTCAGTAGAAAAACTGCTATCTTTATTTTAACAGAAAATAATCGCCTCCACAGAATCGAACGGTGTAATCTTGCGTGAATTAAATATGTTGTTAAGTAGCGGAGTTAACTTCTTTTATCTACAGACTTTGCGCCATCTGACGTTCGATCCACACAAATTTTCTTTTCGGTACCCGAAGTCTGTATGCAGAATTCTTTGATGCGATTAAGCATTTAACGATTTAAGGTAATTACTGGCAGTAATTTATTATGCAATCAATTTTAACTAATTACAAATTATTTTTTGTTGCAGTGGTTGATCTTAGATTAGTTCGCCCCATGTCTTGCGTGGAGAGGCAAGATCTTTGCAATAACTCTAGTTCTAGCCAATCAGGCGCGAGCGGCAGTGAAGGCTACAGACATTACAGACAAGGTAATTTTTTTCCATTGTTATCAACAAATACCTTATTAAATATGATATTAAAATAACACCTAGTTTAATTATATAATTTCTTCAATTATTTTTTTTTGTGTATTTTTGATTCGAAATAAATGCTTCATATTTCGTTGTTATTTATTTTATACTACACGATTTAGAAGTTTTTTTTTCATAATATGCCATGAAATGCGTGTATAATTGCGAAATTTTAAGTGTTTATTTATTTGTAACTAATAGAGTAAAGATGGTCCGAATATTGTCAAACTTGGCCAACCAGAAAAAAGAAGCTCTAACCAGAAGAAAACTGTCAATTAACTTCCTATTATTAAATTGAAAATACTGTATGCAATCTGTACTGTATTCAGGGAGTAAGTTTCAAATAGAAATATAGACAAATGATGCTTTTTTTTGTCCCTCGTATATTTTATGACCATGCACGAGAAAATCTGATTAATGGTGAAGAATTTATAATTATGTATGAAACTTTTGGAATTATTAAAATTAATTAAAAAATTAGATTATGCATAAAAATTAGGTTATGGAACTCCAAAACTACTTAACTCTCTACGAAAATATGAAAAGTGTATCTCGTCAATTAAGATAATTGTACTTCACATCCATACACATTCCTGAACAATGCTATGATTTGTTTTATCTGTGTATAGTATCTAATATTGAAATTTCGTTAGTAAAAGAAATTTTGTTTATTGTGCTTTGGTTTTTAGAAAGTAATAAGTTTACTCGGTTAGGCTTTGGGATGCATTTTTTAACCCTAAATTTATTCCTATGCAAACCATTATAGGTTTTGTTGAAATATTTTGGTTTGTTTTATTTCGAAATACACATGCTAGTTTTTTTCTTATCACTTTAATAAAACTGCAAATGTCCAGACAACGGGCATTTTTACAGGGAAGAAACGCCTCACTATGAGTAAAATTGCGTTTTTAATCAACACAAGCTAAAGTAATAGCAAGTTTGAATTTCATTATGCATTATTTTAGACAATGATGTATAAAATTACTTTGAACAAGTGTGCTTATAAATGAATGGAATATATTTATTATTTGTACCCGATTTAATTTTTTTATATTCAACCGAAGTAATATCTGGTATCAACATAATTCTGCCAAATCTCAATTAAGATAAATCTTAAAATGTTGAGAATGTTTCTAAGCAACTCTAAGTCTCTAAGCCTGTTTCCTTGAATGTACGTGTTATATAGCAATCTATTTCATGACAATATAGCAACCTATTAAACGTATATGATATAGCAAACCATTCGAATGAATTAGCATTTTACAAACAAAACCCATAATTTCAATGATAATCAAAAAGCTTTACGACAAAAGATTATACCATTTATCTTTAATATACATTTAGAAGCATTTTTTAAATATTATAATTAGTTTAAAAATAGAAAATTGAGCTCAATTAATCCAAAGTCACGGATAACACTAAGAACAAGTTTTGATAATTTTCTTTGATTACTTGGTTGTTACAGAGCTAAATTGCGAAAACTAATAAACTCAATTAGTTCTTTTAGTCTCCAAATTAATTATCTCTAAATTATAAAAAATATAACACAAACAAATGTTATTATTCATAGCAATTATAACAATCTGTTATTTTCTCAATTTTTTTAATCAAATTATTTAAAGGATAACATCAATCAATGTCATCAATCATAACAATTATTAAGCTATATCATAACAATTATCATAACAATTCTGAGACACTGGGGAATTAACTAAAATATTTTCAATTTAATATGAAATGCTTGTCAAGGCTTAGTATGAGTATATATTTCCTTTCTTGGTTTAAACGCTTCTCTTTTGTATAAAATGAGCTTAACAAGATTAAATATAGCATACATGGTTTTTCAATTTAGCTGAAAACTTAATGTAATAGCGCAAAATTTTTTAAATAAGATAAAATCGAATTTTAGCTTTAAAAAAGTTTAAATTCTAAAAAACAAGTAGATATTTTGTACTTTTAGAAATGTTAATTTTATATAATCTTGAAATAATTTATTCAAAATTTCTTGATTTTATTATTTTGCTTATTTTATTATAATATTTTGTGTTTTTTTATCTTAAAAGAAACTGTGGTTCATTTTGCATATGTAACATTTTCATAGTATTTCTTAAATACATGATTACTTATGAATTATAAAATATCTGTTTGTTTCTATGTTTATGCAACGGATTTATTATATAAAATTATAACATGATACGCTTGTGTATCATTCTTATAGTTGCGCTTATATATTACAAAAGAATAACTAAATGTAATTTTTACAATATAGAATTTACATTTTCAGTGTAGAAAATATTTTTTTTTTTTTTAAAAAATAGCAAAACTTAAAAAATTAACTTAGAAACTAATTTTAATTAAAAAAATGTATGAGCAATTCACGTTATCTGTTTTTTTATGTATAATTAGAATTTCATTATCTGAGACATATTTCTTTTCTTTTTTCTATTTAACTTCGAGAGCGATACTTTCTACTGTATTTGTATCATCAAAATTGTAGAAATCAATGTTTCAACTTTGAAAGAGAAAAATATTTTTTTAATGACAGTGCCCTTTGAATAGAAATGCTGACTGATAAATCAAATGAATATTTTAAAATTTCAAAAGAGTTTCCGGATATTCAAAAGGAATATTTAATCGAATTTCGGAAGATTCAAAACAGAATTTGTTTATTTTCTTAGAGTAATAATGCAATGATTTAATTAGTTAATTTATATGGATAGGCATGAAAGAAAATTTTTATCTTTTGCGTATCAATAAAGAGGAATCCAAACTTTAGACTGATTCAGTGTACCTAGTTATATTTAGTTAGTAAAGTCGTAACATTCCTTCGTTAATGAATATTGGGAGATTTATGTGTAACGTTTTAAAACTAAATGCAAATACGTTAATTTTTATAGAACTGAATAATAAGTTCGGATTATATATATTCTTCTAAAGCATGATTTTGAAATTAATTTTAATTTTTAGATTAATTAATTAATAGAGAGCAAAAAATTTTGAAATCAAATCAATTTTAAAAAGAAATAATTGAGACTTGAAACTACAAAGTAGAAGAAAACGACGTTCATTCGAAAAATTATAGTATGTTATAATTGTAATATGTTGTAAACAAATTAAAATAAGCAGAAAGCTTACAAGAATTTTAATGAGGCTTAGTAATAAATACTGCTGCATAGTGCGCCGAATGAAAAACGGACTGAATTGCGCCGAATGAATAACTTTTGATGTAATGATCGAATCTTCACGTTCTGGGATTCAATCATAATGGCTCGAGAGAGTGTTCTCAAATAAACTAATTAATTAGTGCAAATGATATTTCAAGTTAAGAAATCAGACACAATGACGTACTTTCTCAGAATAAACTTACCTTTTTTTCCAACAGATTCGGATTTCTGACCCCCAAGGCATGGGAGGTAGCCGCAATCTGGGAAATATCACCTCATTAGTTTGGTCAGGAGAGCTGTCCAAAGTTTGAACCCCTTAATGTTAAATTTACTTTTGGCGTATTTTGCCATATCTCGAAAAATTCCAAAACTAATTGAACAATTTTTACATTTAATTTTAAAATGCGTTTACCCAAAGATAATTCCAGGAAAATAAATAATTTTCAGCAAATATTTATCATTTTTTATTATTTTATTTAATATTAGTCGAAATTTTTTTTAATTGTAAGGTATACATTTTTGTACATCATCGTAAATAATGTAATTTTACGTGGCAAAATACAAACTTTCAGCGAAATCGGTCGAATAGTTCCTGAGAATTTGAATTTTAAACATCTAGCTTTTTTGAAATGCAATTTCTGAGGAATTGTGAAAATGATCTTTGGGAAGGAAAAATTATGATCTTTAAAATGATGCAAAAAATTTTATACTTTGCAATTCAATATTTTTTCGACCATTATTAAATAAAATAATAGAAATTAATAAACATTTATTAAAAGTTATTTTTTTGCATAGCATTATCTTTGGATAAACAAGTATTATAATTGGGTGCAAAACTTTTTCAATTCACATAAAAAAGTTCTTGAGATATAGCGAAATACACAAAAAGGAAAAAAAAAATTATTAAAGTTTCGAAACTTAAGAATCCTCTCCTGACCAAACTATTTGGACCATATTTCCCAAATTGTGGCTCCCTGCCATATTTTGGTGGTCAGAAATCCAAATCCAATGAAAAATGATGTGTTTAATTCAGACAATGTACATTTCTGTGTATGATTTCGTAACTCAAAATATCGTTTGTACTTATCAATTAGCATATTTGAGATCACCCTCTCGAACAATTAAGAATGAGTCCTGGAACGTGGAAAGCAGATCATTAGATCAAAAGTTATTCAGGGTGGTCCTTTTTTATTTTGCGTTCTGTACACTGTGCAGACATACATAAAATAAACTTCGTATAATGTTAGTACTGGAAAGTTTTTTTTTAAGGGGAATTTTTCAATCCCGTCGTTTAACTTCGAACTTCGAAAAATAACACCTATATACATATATATATANTTCGTACTCAGAAGTAGACATTAAACTAAAACTTTGCATTAATGATTTAGTTTTATTTAATTATTTTTAACTATAATTTTAATATCAAATAACTTAATTTTTAATAAGACGTGAATTCTCAAATGATTGACAATGTTGTCGCACACATGTACTCATTTAAAACATTCTGACAACTCGTCTATGATTATTCTTTTTCTTCATATTCACCATAATACATATTTTCCGACAATCTGGTTTTTATATTACAGCGTTTTTTTACTTTTAGGTTTCTGAGTTTATTATTGGAAAAAAAACTATCATGAGTACATTTCATTAAATTACATTTTTTTTCTAAAAAAAATATTCACAAAAATAGTTACCTACGTATGAGAGAAAATATTTATGTTATCTAATTTAGTGTTTAGCTGATTGACTTTCGGGTAAATCGAAATTCTCAACTATCGTAAGCATTAACGCCCACAACACTCATAGGAACAAGAAAGTGATTCCGGAGACGAAGAAAAAAGTCCACATTTCCACTCTAGATGAAATACAAAAGGCGAAGTCAAAGAACTAGAAAGCAAAAACGACTGGTGGTCAGAACCGATTAGCGGACAACGGTCATCTCTATTGTTGGCGACGAACTCTCCTTTTTCTTCTACTAGCGAGTCAGATGCCATTAAGAGATCTCCGTGTCGCATTTCTTCATCAGTAATTGGCTCGAAAAAAAAGCACTCTTTCGTCCTATTTTCTTACCTTTTCTTTTTTCTTCCTTTCTTGTCTCGGTTGCCTTGAGAGACTAATAATCCGAACTCACCCCGTAAATGTCGTTAGCAAGTCGTACTGTTTTCCTTCCACTGTGTTTCCTTTTACGAACTTCCTCAATACACACACGGGGTGGATTAGAAAAAGAAGGGCATTAATAAAGTTGGTGCGGTAATTAGGAGGTAGAAAGGAGGGTTCGTTAATTGTTTTGTTGATCAACAACGGGTCATCCATTTGTATTAGAAGGTGTACACTTTCTATTGGGTCTAACGTAAATGGGTAAATCACGAGTAACGAAGTTTAACAGAGTCGGAAGAACTTGAGGAGAATTTGTTAGGTGCATTTAATAAGATTTTATTGCCCATTTGTATTACACTGATGGGTGAGGAATTGTAACAATTTGCAATTTTTCAAGTTTATTTATTTTAAATGAAACATATACATGCATTAAGAATTTTTAGAAATTTGTTATTAATATTATTTTAAATCCAAACCCTTTATTTATGAACAAAATGGGAGAATGCTTTATTTATTGAACTTTCTTATACCTTAAACAATATTTAGAACATTACCAGTTTAAGGGACTCATATAAAAACGAGTATTTAGCCTGACCAAAATTATTCTTCATTAGATAATTAATAAATAATTTAATTATTTTAAGAGATGTTGTAGTTTCTGATGACATTTGGACAAGCAAAACTCGCCAGCCGTTGACATTTACGAATTAAGTCAGGACGGTGCATCTTTCGTTTGACAAGAGAGCACTGCAAGGGTGAATTTACGTCTTAGCTCAAACCCCACGGATAAATAACAGAACCACTCATTCATGAGGTCACTTTCTCAATTTAGACATAGATCTGAAGGGAAGGAACTTTTCTGTACTCATTGTTACTGCTTAGAGACCGATTCATCACACTTCATGTATATCGCATGTACTCGGTTTGTCTTAGTTTAGTCGAGAATCGAAGTCCTCGATTCTCTAGCCACTGTTCTGCCACGGCCTTTTTAATAAATAATGATTTTAATTTAATGATTTTTCACCATTGTTTTCTATGTTTTTGTTATTTGGAAAAATATAAACTTGTATTGTATTTACAAAAAAAAGTTCTAAAAAAATATTTAATCAACAAATTTTATTGGGAAATAGATTTTTGATTCATGAAAGTCTTTCACTTGCAGTCTATATTGAAAAAGTGTAGGACTACTGAACAAAAATAATGCGAATTTTCCTCATCGTTTTCATTAATTAATATTTTGTTTCTAATTATACTATATGTGAATTATTATTTCACTTAATGTTATTTTTCATTTCTAATTATTACTATTTATCAAGAAGTACACAAATAGGGATGATGTTTAGAAATTATTTATTTTTTATATTTTTAACTTCAAATATTTTATCTAATTTTATTACTATAATTATTTGAGTTTGTCCCGCTGCATTAGATTAACAACAAATTCAAATACATTAATTTACAACTAAATAATTACAGTATTAAATTTATGAACTGACAACGCACGATTTAATAAAACAGCTTTGAATAACATTATTGCTAAATTACATTTATATCGAATATATGAACAGTTTCTTTAGATTAAGCTGTCTATGTTAATTTATTACTAGAAATTACTGGTGTTTTATGCTTTTTTTTAAATTTAGATTAAATAACTTAAATAACGTATTTAGAACAATTATACTTATTTAATAGTACGAGTCATATCTTCATTTTCAATTATTTCAATGTTTATGTTAATAGTAACTTTCTTTTTCAGATTTGTCATAGGATCAGTATATATTAGGACTTTTTTAAAGTAATTTTTTAAATGATGAGAATATGTCATTGGTAAGTTGGATAATTTTACATATGTTTACAAGTTATTTACAAATTATTGTTTTATGGCATTTTTATTTTTTACTTAAATAGTAAATTCCCAAATTTGTTTTTATTTTCATACATGATGTTTTAATAATCGGAAAAAAATTCAACTCAGTAAGTAAATGCTATGCGCTTGATGCAGGTACGGAAACATTTTAGATTTTGTCACTTTGTTACGATTTCTTTTTTTGTTCATTGCTCAAAATCCTGCATTTGAAGCATGAGTACCTCCTTTCTTTATTTATAGCAGTTATTAATTTTGTTTTACGTTATTAATTTAATTGTCTAATTTGATTATCTATTAAGTTATTAATTTAATTATCTATTTAAAATAAAGATAAATAATCTATGAAAGTCAACAATCGGCAATATTTTGGGTTGTTATATCTTTCTGTACTAACATACGAGGATTGCAACTTTAATGCGGACAGTTGCAGAGGCGACTTAAAGCAGAACCAAACAATGTTGGTTATACCACCTGATAGTTGTGTACCTACCTTAGCTCAGAACAAATAATCTCTTCCAAAGACAAGGGAGTTGGACAAAAATAAAATGTGCCAGAGATCATACAGCACAGAAGTGTTGTAAGATTTTTAACTGGCTTGAGAATGATCTGCATTGCTCTACAGAAATGTGGTAAGATGGTGACGCCGAAATGTGGCAGGCTTTCACTCTCTAGGGTAGCCTAATGCCAATGAAGAAAAACAGAACCATGCGGTTACAGAGCCATTAACCTTTCCTGATTTAATCTGTAATTAGCCATTAACCTTATTAGTTGCATACTTATCTTAGCTCAGAACAAATAATCTCTCCCGATAACTATACAAATATAAAATGTGTCAGAGATCATACAGCACAGAAGTGTCGCAAGATTTTTAAGTGGCTTGAGAATAATCTGCATTGTTCTTCATAAATGTGGTAAGATAGTAACCCCAAAATGTGGCTGACTTTCACTCTCCAGAGTAGCCAAATGCCAATGAAGAACAATAGAAACATGAGGTTAGGAAGTTCAGAGTCATTAACCTTCCCTGATTTAATCTGTAATCAGCCATTATCCTTCCCTGCGTAAGCTGTTCTTCACACAAGTTTTCATAATAAAAATAATAATTAAAATTATTTTCTAAAGAGAAACCTAAGGGATTTTCTAGAAAGATTAAAATTACTTTTTAACTATACTTGAAAGTAAAATTTTTTAAATGCTTCTTATATAACAAATATATTGGAATATTCTTTTTCGTTCATAAAATATCAAAAAGGGGAATCAATTTAGAAAGAAATACGACTTTTGATATAAAAAAAGATTTTCTATGAAATCTTAAATTGTTTGATGCGAAGATTTTGTGAGGGAATAAAAGGAGTATAAAAGAGTTGAAAATACTTAAAATACTTTTCTTCGAAATCAACTTTTTTTTTTAATGCTAATGATTTTCGATAATACTGTAGAATAATAGAATTTTTATAAAAAGAGACAGCAACGAAACCTTGCAAACTTAAAAATGCCGATTTCAATAAATTTTCTTTCTAAAAACTATTTATTAAAGGCAGAATTTAAGCGATTATTTGAAAAAAAGATACGGTGGTATTTATTTTTCTGTTTACATAGTTAGTACATTATATATGGTATATATTATATACGGTATTTTTTTGTTTCATATAGGGTATATGGTATAATTTTTTTTCTCCATTTCCTCTATTAATTACAGCTACTAATGATATTTAACGGAGAGAGGAGCTAGTCTGGCAATTTCTATAATCTTGCAAACATGTTTACTTATCATCATATTAAAATACCGTCTTCCGGAATTATTATGGTCACTTTTCATTTGAATACCTATGTCACAATACTTTAGACAATACTTTAGAGGTTAATGAAATGTTTTATACGTATAGAGTTACGCTCTACGTCTATATACATGAAAATGTAAAAAGAACGCAATTTAAAAAACAAAAAATAAATTCAGGGATCGAATCTAAGTTATCTTACCAAATTAGGTAATTTAGAGTAGCAATATTGGTATAATATGTGATTTTATGTTTGTCGATAGTTGAATAATTGTCGACAATTGGGTCCCTAAACTAATGTACACATTCTGCTCAAGATATTTATTACATAAAAAGAAATAGCAAATATATATATATATATATATATATAGGCANCCCTATTCTCGAATACCGGCGCCAACTTATCTATGAGCACAGGAGAGGATATGATAAGAGGGAAAAAATGTTGAAAAGAGTAAAAATGAAGAAAAAAAATATATATGGAACTCCTCATCTTTCGCCTGAAAATTTCTGGATCCAACTCTTTCTCTTCTACGTTCCCATGGCAACGGAAAGGTGAGAGGAAAACTCTTGGAATTGAGAAGAAGAAAAATAAGAGAAATGAAATTCCAGGTTTTATAGGTCGTGGAAAAACTTCCGGTGGGCTGAAAAATTGGAATGCTGACTCGTTGTATAGCGAGAGAAGTCGAAAATAAGCCAAAGTCTACGTAGAAGATATATCTGGTTTACGTGAAAAATATGCTGACTTCTTACATGTTAAATGTTTGAATTATGAAATAGCTAAAGCGCCTATTCTTCGCTAGTGGAAAAATGCATTTATGCATTAAATCAGATGTGAACATATAAACTTACTTCATATAAACATTTTTAATTAAAAAAAGTTTAGTATATGTCGTATTGAAGTTGAAAAATAAAAGTTCTTTTATTACATATTTTGATGTTGATTTAATTTTCGTTTTTGTACACAGTATTACAAAATGCCAACATCCAAGTGTGCCCCAAAGTTTTAAATCAGTGAAGAATCTTTTATTATTCACAGTTAAAATTACATTAATTCTGCCACAAATGCAATTTTTACAGTTTTTATGCATCATTTCTTCAAGCACTACATTTAAGGCAAAATTCCAAGCACAATATGAACGTTTCATTATTTAAATATGAGTTTTGATTAGTTTCAATTTTATTTAAGTGTAATCTTAATCATCAATTTTATCTAATGATATTGGTATTTGTCAAAAATTTACTTGCAAAAGCATTGCATCCTGATAAAAGCTTTTGACCTTAATTTTTATCATTTCGCTTAATTTAAATTTAAAGAAATCTAGGGAAAAAAACTAAGCACATTCAACTGTTTTAAATTAAACATTGAAATAACGAACACGCTTCAGAAATATAACAAATCCCAAATAAAGAAGACGGGTGTACACAACATCGGAACCTAATTCAATGGCGTTTGAAATTAGTAAATGTCTCTAAAATTAAACATCTTTCCATTTTCACTAGCGATCAGACATTTCTGCTGTTATCTACACCTATCTCCAAAACTGGATTTCGTCTGATTTTTGTACCGTTCCTGACTTTCCTTCATTCAAATATGAGTTTGGGAATCATAACATGCATACTTTTGCGTCTTCTTAGAATTTTAAGACTCTGTGTTGAAAGGGATATTTCTAGATTACCTGTACATAGGGAATATAGTTATATCTGTGTTAGCACGTACTTTGAACTACTTTGGGCAAGATAGAAAGGTGATCATGCATTCAGGATATGGGGTTAATGCCTGCAATAATAGGTACCGACACCTGTGCTTTATTTATCAAATTTTAGATTTTACCGGCATGTGCTATGAGAATATATACTGTTCTTCATTGATAAATTCTTTTCAATTAATTTGTGTGTGAAAGAAAATTCACATTTGAATACACTAAAGTAGATAAATATGAAAATGCTATTGGATTTAAGACAGAAAATCACTTAAGTAAAGTGTAGTTTTTAGGCATGATACAATTAAAAAAAGTTCAAGCTTGCTTTACGATTGACCAGCCTCATTATTGTACCTGGAGCAGTTCTCCGCTTGGGGCTGTGGGTTCAGTTAAAAGAAATATATTTCTTTGTGGACTTTTCCGCTTACACTCTAAATAAATCTATAAAATTTTTAAAATAAAATATTTGGTATTACGTTTATCATTAACGTGATTATTCTAGATTTTTCAGGCTAATTGAAGATTACATTTCAGTTGCATGAAAGTCTAAACTCAATTAACAAGCAGATTTGGAGGAAAATAACTTAAAATAAATGTTTAAAATAATGTACAGCATATGATGGTCAAACATAAACTCCATAATGCAGAATGATTTAGTGGTGAATGGTGCAGAGATTAAGGACGTCATGTATAGTAACAATCAAATTTAATAATTGTAAGCAGTAAAAACAAACAATATGATAGTGTGATATTTATTAGGCTTCCCAATAAGCTTTCCATACCAATCCATTACTTGATACACAAGCGATACATGATCAGAGTTATTGTAAGTGATTACAGCAACCTCTGTTAATCAGGCAGAAATTCAAAACACTCCAATTTTCCTTACTTCAATTTTTTAGTTTCAGTATTAATTACAAAAAATGTATTTACAAAAAAAAATTCTTTAGATTTTTTTCTCTTTGCATTAAAAAATAAAAATTGGCTTAATGTATAAAACTCTTTTCTCTTATTAAAATATAACTAAATTATTATTGCTGCATTTTAATTAATAATATCGTACTATCAATAACATATTTCCTAAAACTGCCAAGTGCGTTTGGTAGGTCAAATGTAAGGTCACGCAAATATCGGATAAAATATATAATTTAATTTTATGAAGACAAAGTAGGATCCCTTTCAATTGCAAAAGAAAAATATTGCATCCATACTTTTATAAGTATACATAGATACACACATTATAAAAAAAGAAGATAGGTCCTATGGTATCTTCAAATAGAGGCATAAACTTCTTTAATGTTTCCATGTTTTCTATTGATAATAAATTGGTGTAAAGAAAGAGTTTTGTCAATAATAAGAGAGAAAGTAAAAGTTACTAAAAAAGTGCAAATAAAGTAGCAAAAATAATCAATATTGTAGGAAATAGGGCAAATCCCAGCTGAATTATGGTATAAGTATTGACTGTGAAGAATCTTGCCACCCTTTT